GTAAAGGCGACTTGTGATCGTAAGGTCCCAGGTTCGAATCCCCAAAAAATATCAGTTACTGAGTATTTCCGTAAAGGAATTCTCAGTAGCTGCCCGGAGACAGGAAGTTGACGGTGTCTCACTCCCGGGCTTCGAAAAGCACGGGAAGCAAGGTCGTATCGGTTTCTCGTCCCATCGGACTATGAGAGTGAGGCAATAGAGAGTAGTGCACCTGTGCTTGCGCACACACTTGTGCACTGTAATCCTGTCCTGCGCAGATGGCTAGTCTCCGTTGAGACTTGCTAACGTGAACGACATTCGGTCTGGAGGACATTATTATTATTAATTTATACATCATTCGTTACAGTCCATCAAAGTCCACTGCTGAACATAGGCCTCCCATAAATTGAGTCATAAGAGGAATTTTGCCATAACTGCCACGGTGGCAGGCGGGTTGGCAACCGCAGTTACTTTTATTTTCTAGTTGTTAACAGTAAGACGATGCTGCCCATGTCCTATTTTGTTTCCCTCCGTAGCTTCCTGCGACACCCACGGGAGTGTATGGGGTAGTGGATATTCTCACACAGCCACTATACGGATAGAATGGGTAATAATGTGAACTATAGAGTTTTACGTTACAAAGAAGTTCGTTGTAAAGACTTTTTATTTTGTACATGGTAGAGCCATGCTGCAATTATATTAGTAGCATATGTAGTTGTAGCACGAATGGTTCGGCTCGACCGGGGAAGCACCACGCTCTCACAGAATACCAGCGTAAAATAGCAACTTAACGCTGCTGTGTTTCGTATGGTGAGTGTAGAGAACCGGAGAACCTTTTTACTGGAAATAAGGCATACCATCTTAGTCCTCACGGGTGACAACGCATCTGTTTTTCGATTCTTTATTGAGGATAGATGTAGATATCTATGGGTCACAGCAACCACTTACTGTGGTTGGTGGTGGACTGTGTTCTCGTTTGTCACCCTATCCAATATAAAAAAAACTTAAAAAAAGAAAAACGCCAGATGTTGCATATATTTTTATATTAATAAGTTTAATGTATAATATAAACGCTCTTTATGTATATTGCTGGTATATAAGGCTACGTAACAAACACACACAAACTCGAAATGAGTACACACACACACAAGAAGCTAATTATACTAAATTATAACAGATTACACAATTTAAATGGCATATCTCTTATAGTTAATTGATTAATTAGCTAAATAGCTCTCATGTCACAATTTTCATATCAACATAATTATATAAAATACACCATAAGGCATCACAGTCTGTCAAAATACCACTGCTGAACTTGGGGGGAGAGGGGGGGATCGATTATTTCACTTGTCACCATATACTGGTATTCCCATGCAGTACTATAGAGTTCACAATTGATAATAACCCCTGGAAATGAGGTGATCGCTACCATGCTGTTTCTTCTAAATGTTTTCTTATTATAAATGTATAAAATATATGATTGAAAATTATTTAAAATAAGTCGCGCTGGGTTTCATGCTGGTTCTTCACACACAGAGGTTTTTCCGAACCAGTGATAAAAGCTTAAATTACTTTCAATAAGTATACTTAAAATCTATATTGTATAAAAATTATTATAATTTATTTATATCTAATATCTAGTGTGTTGCTAATAGCAACAATCTTTAGAGCCCGCGGGCTCAAACCTACTTTGTGCCATAAAAAGGTACTTAGTGCCTTCAGGCACTCGCTAAAATGCCACAAAGATTTTGTTCACAGTGTCTGTTCTAGTATGTAGTACATAAATATAATAATAATATGTAATTCAATGGTCTTAACTGTTAATTATAATTCCCTTTTCTAATTGCATTATAATAGAAAGTGTTTGTAAATAAAATATTTTTTCTATTAAAAGCTCTATACACAGTTTCGCATATCATTAAATAGGTAGATTGGTTACCAAATAAACAAATGTCAAAACCATAAATTGTATTCTCTCTTCATACTCTGTGTTTATGTAATGAGTTTTATATTCTTTGTCCCCATTCATAAAGTTAACTCGTCCCGGTTTTGCGTACTTTGCAAAAGCGCCATCTACCGAATCCAACTATAGCTAACAATTAACCAATGACCCCATAAGTACCCCGTAATTGCTTTATTTGATTTTGAATTGATTGGCGATTATATAGTTTTAATACGTTAAAATATCGTTTGTTGAATGACACTAATTTTACGGGCTCTATCACGTATAATTTAACTTATTAATTCCGGACGTTTCGGGTGCTTTACAATCACGGGAGAAATTGAGGTGTTTGACATACCGACGTCTTAGTTAGATCATTTGTTCTTATGCAATCTACGGTAAAAGTTACTATGCCATATTTATCACATAATCATATTTGATCACAAATAGCAGTAATAATGTTATGCTTTGTTCAAAATCAATAGTTTAATTAATATAAAATATTTTTTGTATTACAGGATAATATAATCCTTAAGACTTGCAGTAATAATGTTATATAAATTAATCCCATCATCCATTACAGCCTATAAAAGTCCACTGCTGAGCAGAGGCCTCCTATAGATTGCCTTGTAGGGAGGATATTTGCCGTAGTTGTAATGTTACTGTTAATTTAATAATTTCACCTCTCAGTGGGTCATGTGCTCCTGGTAGATTATCTTCTATACATCCATCCATTACAACCTATAAAAGTCCACTGCTGAACATAGGCCTCCTATAGATTGCCTCATAGGGAGGATATTTGCCATAGTTGTAATGTTACTGTTAATTTAATAATTTCACCTCTCAGTGGGTCATGTGCTCTTGGTAGATTATCTTCTATACATCCATCCATTACAACCTATAAAAGTCCACTGCTGAACATAGGCCTCCTATAGATTGCCTCATAGGGAGGATATTTGCCATAGTTGTAATGTTACTGTTAATTTAATAATTTCACCTCTCAGTGGGTCATGTGCTCCTGGTAGATTATCTTCTATACATCCATCCATTACAGCCTATAAAAGTCCACTGCTGAACATAGGCCTCCTATAGATTGCCTCATAGGGAGGATATTTGCCATAGTTGTAATGTTACTGTTAATTTAATAATTTCACCTCTCAGTGGGTCATGTGCTCTTGGTAGATTATCTTCTATACATCCATCCATTACAACCTATAAAAGTCCACTGCTGAACATAGGCCTCCTATAGATTGCCTCATAGGGAGGATATTTGCCATAGTTGTAATGTTACTGTTAATTTAATAATTTCACCTCTCAGTGGATCATGTGCTCCTGGTAGATTATCTTCTATACATCCATCCATTACAGCCTATAAAAGTCCACTGCTGAACATAGGCCTCCTATAGATTGCCTCATAGGGAGGATATTTGCCATAGTTGTAATGTTACTGTTAATTTAATAATTTGACCTCTCAGTGGGTCATGTGCTCCTGGTAGATTATCTTCTATACATCCATCCATTACAGCCTATAAAAGTCCACTGCTGAACATAGGCCTCCTATAGATTGCCTCATAGGGAGGATATTTGCCATAGTTGTAATGTTACTGTTAATTTAATAATTTCACCTCTCAGTGGGTCATGTGCTCCTGGTAGATTATCTTCTATACATCCATCCATTACAGCCTATTAAAGTCCACGCTGAACACAGGCCTCCCCCATAGATTGCCGCAAAGGGAGTATTTTTGCATAGTTGCCATGCTTGGCAAGCGGATTGGCGAACGCAGTTTTTAGAGGCTGCTGCCCATCTCTTGTTTCAGTTTCCCGCTGTCCCCTCTTACAACACCCACGGGACGATATGGGGTAGTGGATATTCTTACACCGCCACTACACAGTGAATGCTATTCTATAACAATAATATATACTAATAAAGAAGTACCGTAATATGCATTGGGCAGCAGCGACTTCTTAATAACAACAAAAAAAAAACAAGTCTGTGGTTGACAACCCGCTTACCAAACATGGCCATTATGGTAAATATCTGAGAAATCTATGGAGAGGCCTATGTTTTATCACTGCTGAACATAGGCTTTTTTTTTATAGAAAAAGGGGCAAACGAGCATGCGGCTCACCTGATGGTAAGTGACTACCGCCACCCATGAACAACCGTAACACCAGGGGAATTGCAGATGCGTTGCCGGCCTTTTAGAAAGGTGTAAGCTCTTTTCTTGAAGGTTCCTAAGTCGTATCGGTCCGGAAAATTCGCTGGTGGTAATTAATTCCACAAGGAAGTTGTGCGAGGGAGAAAACTTCTTCTAAATCGCACAGTGGTGGACCGCCAATCATCCAGATGGTATGGATGGTAACGCGAGTTTTATCGCGATGTGCGATGGTGAAATTGAGCGGCTGGAATTAGTCCGAACAATTCCTCAGAATTCCTTCAGCTTCCCCCAAGGAATGCCAAAAAGCACGATCCTGAGCCACCTGTATCCATCGACTTCCTGCATATCTTACCAGGTGGCCACTCCATCTAGTGGGGGGACGCCCTACACTTCGTCCGCCGGTACGAGGCTGCCACTCGAGAACCTTTCTTCCCCATTGGTTGTCGGTTCTCAAACTAGGCCACCCCATTGTTATCAGTGGACTTTTATAGGCTGTAAAAGTTCTCTTAATTAAAGTTATTAATTGAATCTGAATGTAGTTTAAACCTTTAAACTAATTATAAACTCCTTCTTTGTAATAAGGTAATAATTGTTTCATAAACTTTCGAGGGTAGATCATGGCTCGAATGACTACATTATTCATGCCCACACGCAAAATACGCGCTTTATACGTGTTAAGTTGCGGCAAATTACACATTGCAAACTAAACTGCTTAAACTTAGAGAGAATACATTAATTTTAACTCTGACAAAAATCTTAGCCGCATATAATCCGGAACGTCATTATTTCCACTTCCTTCTTCTATCGTCACTATTCACTACATATCTTCTGGATTTAATAACACACTTTCACTACACTTTCTTTAGGCACTGATTTTCTTTCTCTTCTAAAACTGTCTGTTTCTTTAAAATGGCGTTCTATCGCGCTCGATGTATCTTCAAGTGGCGTAAAGCGCATCTAGCGGCAGTTCCTTTAGCGATGCGGTAGTTTCTGCCCACGCCTTTGAACGTTCCTCGGCCGAACACCTCCACACAAACACGGACTCTCCGGCCATCAGCTAGACGCTCCGGTTTCCTGTAATTAATTGAAAAACATTACAAGTTATTAATTAATCCCATAGTTATGTTACATGAGCTCGTTTTAATAAAAGATGGGTGTAATTATCATACATGATTGATAGAACCTCGGCAAAAAATAAAAATAAAATTTGATGTAAACTCTGTGAGTTGTAGGTAAGAGTCGCGAGGGTAGTTACAACACAACCAGACATGAAATCACAACGTCAAAATTACCATTACACAAAATTTTATCTTGGTCCTTCAAGCCGGATTTTAACCAACCACTTATGGATAAATGAGTAACTAAAGTTTCATTTTGGTATACCGAACTGGACAGATAATGCAAACCAGACCTGACTGTCGTAACTCATTATACCATATTGTGGGGAAAAAAAATAAGAAAAATTACCGAAAGATCTTGTTGTGTCTAATACATTTTATTTTGTCTAATCATAAAAATGGAAATTTTGCTTCAATCTTTCGAGCCAGAGTTAAACCAGCTATTAATTAATTTATATAGTGCACATTACAAAATATGAGGCAATAACCACATTATTATTATTATTATTACAGCTTTATTTTCCACTTAACAATTCTTAAAAAAAGAATTATGTCCAATTATAATAATTTACTTTCCATTTTTTTGTTGTTTCCCTGTCTTTGGTCGCATGCATCCAACTTTTTCCTGGTGTGTTTATTATGTCATCGGACCATCTTTTCTTCTGTCTTCCCACATTTCTTATGCCTTTTGGACCCTGCCATTTAGTTGTTTGGTAAGTCCATCTCTTATATTTGTATCTCGACAAGTGCCCTGCTCAGTTCCATTTCTGTTAAAAACTAAAATGAAGAGCGTCTGTTAATTTTGTTTTATGCGGACGTCAGCGTTTCTCGTTTTCTGTATTTTTCTCAGTTTCAGTATACTACGTTTCATTGCATGTTGACAAGAGGAAATTTAGCTTTTTACTTTTACAGTGAAGATCCAGGTCTCGCTAGCGTAAGTTAAACTTGGGAAAATGCAAGAATCCATTATAGTATTTTTTATATTAAGACTATAGTTCTCTTTTAAAATTTCTTTTTGATCCCAGTATTTCTTCCATGCTGTACTTATTCGTCTGTCTATTTCGTTTTCGTTGCTGTTTGCATCAAAGGACACCAATTTACATAGGTAGACATATTAATTTCTATATTCTATCGGTTTTTCCTCTACTTTGTTTTCTTTTGACTGTTTGACATTACTTTAGTTTTGGATGCGTTTATGTGTAGACCGATTTTTTTGCTTTCAAAGATTAATCTTTGTAGCACTGATTCCCCAAAAAGAACAATGTCATCTGCAAATCTTAGGTGTGTTAATTTATTATTGAGTATCCTTATGCCTTTATTTTCCCAAGTAATGTTTTTGAAAATGTCTTCAAGTACAGCCATGAATAGCTTTAGAGACAACGGGTCTTCCTGCCGCACCCCTCTACCAATTGTGAACTCTTCTCTTTGTCTTTCCAGTTTTACTCTACTTACATTTTTAGAGTAGATGTTTTTTTTTATGATATTTACACATGTTTTGTTAACATCATTATTTCTTAGAGCAGTCCATGTAGATGGGTGTACTATGCTGTCGAATGCTTTGGAATAGTCAACAAAAGCTATGTAGAGTGGTTTATTGAATTCTTTATATTACTCGATTATTTGTTCCATTGTGTGAATGTCGTCTACTGTTAAGTAGTGCGGCCGGAAGCCCGCTTGTTCTATTGGCTGATTCTTGGTGCTGGTGCTATTCTTCTTAGGATGATTGATGAAAAGAGTTTGTATATTGTTAATAGTAAGCTGATAGGCCTGTAGTTGCTGATGTCGAGCGGGTTCCCTTTTTTATACAATAGTATTATGTTTGATTTACTCCATTGCAATGGTACTTGCTCTTTTAGTTGAAGAATTCTGCTAGATATGCAGCCTGGGTTGGTGCTCCTATTATGAGGGATTCGTTTGTGATGTAATCTTCACTTGGGCTCTTCTCGGGTTTTAGTCGTTTGATTTCGGTCAATATTTCTCTTTCAGTTATTGGGTCTAATGGTGTTTCTGCTATATCTTCTCCAGTTATATTACTATTATCTTTTTCATCATCTTGTGTCATATCATGTGGTGGTTTTTCATAACGAGAAGTATAGAAAGCCGTTGCATATTTTATTATACCTTCCCTGTCTTTATTTTCAACCTTTTCACTGTCCAAACTTTGTATCCAATTTTTGTGTGTTGATAGTTCTTTAAAGACTCGTTTTGAAATACGGAAAGTAAACATACTTTTTTCTATAATTTCTCTTCTATGGTTAGCATAATCTCTTTTGATTAATCTGTTGCTTTGTTTGAACAATTTCTTTAGGTCTTCTCTCATTTCTTTGGACTTGTTCTTCGTGAACATAAGTGCAGTTCTTCTACCAATTAAATTTTTTGTGTGTTCGCTAATGATCTTTTCTTTGTGTTTATCATTTGCTTTTTCATCCATTTTAAGTGTTTCTGTGATTGCTTCTTCCAGTTTTGTTTTCCTTATTTTCTTTGTCTTATTTTCCTTTAGAAATTCTGGCAATATTGGTAAGTTCTTTTTTAGGTTTTGTATGTATTTGTTTCTATCATGTGTGGCCTTCAATTCTATCATGTGTTCACTTCTTTGTTGGGCATGGTTTTGGTCCTCGGCTAATATTAGGTTTTTATAGAATTTTTATAGAGCATCTTAGAATCCTGTGGTCAGACGGGAAGCTTATTTTGTTCAGAACTTCTAAATTTGTTACAGATTTTGGGTTGGGGCTCAGTATAAAGTCAATTTCGTTTTTTTGTTTTATGTTCCAGTGACATCCATGCCCATTTTCTGGAACTTTTCTTATTGAAATATGTGTTCATCACTGCCAGCCTGTTCTCATGTGCATACTGTATAAGGCGTTCACCTCTAGCGTTCCTTATGCCGTAACCATATTTGCCTATTATAAAATTTTCGTGAGGTTTAAGTTGTCCAATTTTGCATTGAAATCTCCAATGATTGGCCTGCTTTTATCAGCCAGCTCTTGCGCTCTTGTTAAGTCATTGTAGAATTTTGTGATTCCTTCTTCACTTGAACTCTCAGTAGGAGAATATACTTATATCAGCGATAGTGGTCCCACTATCACACTCTCTCTGATATTCCCAAAAAGCTTAATATGTTGCCTTTTAGTGATTTCTTTATTAAGAATCCTACGCCATGAAGTCCCTTTGTCTCTCATATATAACAAAATATGTAGTCTTTATGTTCTTCAATGGTTATATCCCATCTTTTTAACTTCTGCGAGTCTTATGATGTCCCATTTTATTTTATCTATAATAATAATAAATAAATAATAATGCATATTTAGTTCTAAAGTTATGTCTTTTATTGATAGGGATCTCACATTGAATGTGCATATTTTAAGACCTTGTTCTCTTCTTGACTTTATACTCTTGATTTTGTTTGCATAACTAGGGTTGTTTTTACTTTTTTTATTTATATTATTCTGTTTGTTTTTATTTGTTTGTTTGATGAAAGGTAGTGGTCGTCTTGCTCCACGGTGACCAGCCGGCTTGGGGTGCTTTTTTCCGAGGTTGGTTTGAACAATGTTGTCATATTTGTTTTGATTTTATTCCGAGTGCCGGTGGTCGTTGCTAGTTTTTTTTTGAGCTTTCAGATAGTGAGGCTGTTCTGCCTCGTTCGACATAGTTACGAATATTAAGTTTTATAATTTCTTTTGAGACACTCTTGGCAAATGGTGGTGTTGAGGTTTCTTTCGAGTTTATTTTGTTTTGGGTTGAGTGTGGTGAGCCTGAATTTTCTCTCTTTCTTTAATCTCTGGTTTTGTCAGTCGGGTTCTTCACTATCAGTTTGTCATATTTAAGAAAAGCGATATTTTCTTTCTTCATTTCCTCTTCTAATTGTGGTTGTAGCTGCTTCCGCTTTTAAAGTACTTCTTTAGTGTAATCCTCTTTGACATTTATACCTGATGGTATTTATGCCTTATTTTTCAATATGATGTGATTTTTCCCTAAAGACGCTATAGTGACTACGACGAGGTGACTCTTATTGTCTTTTTTGCCGATTCTGTATATGTGTCTGATTTCATGACTATCTATTTGTGTTCCAGTTTCTATTATTGTCTTTTACGTAGTCTACCGTCTCTGCTTCTGTTTTACCAGAATCCTCAATTCCTAAAAAGACCAAGTTATATTTTCTTTCTTCCAGTTGTGTTATATTAAGTTTGTGCTCCAATGTAGAAATTTGGCTTTGCGTTTAGTATTTTTCTGTTATTGTTTTTAATCTCTCATCTATTGCCTCCGTAACATTTTTGTAACATTTTAGTTTGTTCAGTTTTTCGTCCAGTTTTGACAACAGCAACTCCATGATTTGTCCATTTTTAGGGTATTATTTTTGTTCTGGCAGTACTGGTTCAGTGGAAATTAATTTATTGATGTTGGTCACCTTGCAACTGTCAGTGTCTGAATGATAAGGTCATTGACGTTTGACAGATTCGTTGGTTATATTGGTAGCACTGCTGTATGATTTGCAAATTTGTTAGGTTATGTTGTGTTCGATTTTAATAGCACTTTTTTCTGCAAGCTTTATGTTTTGCACTCTGATTATTCTTTAATATTGTCTTTTGCTGTCACACTTAATCGATTTTTCGTTGAGACACCACAAAATAACACTGTTTGCACTGCTATTGATTTTTAATTGTGGAGGAGGTTGAGGTTGATTGTAAAACCATTGGAAACGGAACTTTTTTAATTTTTCAATTACCACATATCTATATCTAATTAAATATACAGATAATATCTTATCTTAACAGTTTGACTTTTAATCAAGTCAAACTGTTATAAGCAGGTATCTGACAAAAGTATTCTACTATTCTAAGTCTACGTCAAAAATAAACAGGAAACATCCTATGCAAACGTCCAATTATAAAAATATCAATAACATATTGGTCTTTCGAGCCGGGACAAACTTACCCGAATTTCGCGGTGTCGGGTTCCGCCTCAAGCAATTCTCTCACGGGTGATTTTGGAGCGGCGGCGCTGAACGCCTCCAATTCAGCGCCCATCAGCCGCACGTACGATCTCCACACAGCGCCCAACGACATGCCTGACAAAAATTGACAAGTAAGTAAACTTAATAAGAGAATAAAGTTTATTATAGTTGGAATGAGGTGATCGCTACCAAACTATTTTATTAATTTGTTTTGTGTTGTTATTTGTGTAATATATACAGAGCTATTATGCAACAACCGGCCAAATTTGTAGAGAATGTTCAGAATAAGTAATATAGGAAAATGGTGAAAAAAAATTAATGAAAAAAAATCTCAAACATTCTGTCCTTTTTATCTTTTAAAATCAAAATGCGTGGTAATTCATTATTTTAACTGATTATCATTCATTAATATCTAAGTATCTAACGCGTAATTGACTACGCACGCACACATTCGTAAGGGTCGATCAGCAGCTAAAAACGTTGAATCGCACACAGAGGAGCGTGCGTACGCCTAGTTGTTGCTCATAAATCACACTCTATTTGGGATAACTTCAAATAAAAGTAGAGGCCGTATTTACTCGTATTTTCAAAAACTCTAATAACGGTATATCATTATATATATATATATTTGAACTTAAGTTTAAAATTTGTACTACGAAAAATAATCCTGTATAATTTAATGTAAGTTTTTATGCTGTACTTTTTTTTAAAAAAAAGTTCTCTACACTCACCATACAAAACACAGCAGCATTAAGCTGCTATTTTACGCTGATATTCTGTGAGAGCGTGGTCCTTCCCCGGTCGAGCCGACACATTTGTGCTACAACTACACTACTAATATAGCTGCTGCAGCATGGCTCAACCACGTATAAAAAGGTTGATCAAATTGATGGCTCCGTGGCGCAATGGTTTAGCAATCAGTTGTTGCGCTGGGGGCCGCGGGTTCGAATCCCGCACGGAACAAGTATTTGTATGGCCTACAAATAATTGTTTCGGGTCTGGATGTTTGTCCTTGTGCAATTTATGTTTGTAAACTGTCTCCACGACACAGGAGAAAATCCTAGTGTGGAGGTAACGTTTTAAAAAAAAAATAAGGCTCATCCACACTATATTGGAAAAAAACTAAACTAGTTGGTGGAACATACGTTTAATACGCTAAACGAATTTTATAATTTTAAGAGTTAATATCGTGTTTTTCATTTTTATAAGCCTTTTTTATACATTTTATCTTATAAGTTAATTGTAAATTTATTGCACGCCTGATGAGGCAACTGTTGATATGTTTTATATATAATACGTCATCTTTTAACTATTGTACATAGTAATGCAATAATAAATAAATCAATCCTATATGGAGAAAGATGAATGCTCAGCCGTGGACTTTTATGTTGATGAAGGAGACAAATATAGGAAAGACCTTGGCCCAACAGTAGACGGTTGAATGTTGGACGGTACAGTAAAACACACCTGAGTCTAAGAAGATGGCACCGGCCACCGACTCGAAGAGGTCTCCCAACGCTTTGGGCACCTCCACATCCTCCGCTTGCTCCATTTCATCTTCGTGTATCAAATAGTGCTGGAAAAAATTATAGTATTGATAAGTACGGCGTGAGTGAAAATTCCGATTACAGATGAGTAAAGGATAAATTCTTCCACACACAGCAAGTGTAAAAACACGTAGTCCAAAATCGTTAAGCTTCTTCAATGAGGTCCTCAATAATCAAGAGTTCACGTTCGCGTTATCGAAATATTTAATTCTCCGATCGGCGACGCACGCTTTTATATTCAAAATGAGAAGTTGTGAAGGCGGAAAAAAAACGACCACTGGTCTCAGTGGTCGATCCTTTTTAAGTATAATATATATATATATATATATATATATATATATATATATATATATATATATTATAGGCAAAATGATAAATAAAACGAAGTACCAACATCATAAACGTAAGAAAATTTGTTGTGCTGCACGCTTAAACTATAATCAAACGCATTTCTTTTTCATTTCTAAATTTTAATTATAGGATTAATTCAATGGGGGAATAGTAGAACACTCGCGATTATCAATATGTCTAAAGAAGAAAAGACTTTCTATACTTAGACATAAGGTTGCGTCTTGCTTGCATCAGTAAGTTTGAGCACTATCTATTCTTACACTCACACATTTTATAAATTAATAGCTGGTAGTCGGCGCGTAGCTGCCGCAGAAGAAATAATTGCGTAAGAACAGTTATATTGTTTAATTAGGAGTGATAATACATCCACTGAAATGGAATGATAATATACATAACTTACAAATAAATTTGTCGGAACGATACGCGCGCCGCCTACTGAAGTTAATTGTACTATGTCTGTAACCTTCGCGTAAGTGCAAGCATTAAGTTAAAAACGCTTTACTGCAATCTGATGAACGGTAGTATGGCACCGCACAAAATACGAACAGACAAAAAATAATTTTTTTTATCAATTAGTTAGATACTAAATAAATTGTTAAATTTTAAACTACATATTAACACAGAGTAAATAAGTACAGAAGTTGCACTCTTTTGATGTTGACTGCTTGCCGACGTTTTAATAGCCTACATAGTTATTATTATTATTTTTTTATTATAGGATAGGGTGACAAACGAGCACACAGTCCACCTGATGGTAATAATATACATAATTATATATTATTATTCTTAAATTACATTAAAACTTATTCAATTATTTTATCCTACAATTAAATATACTAAACACTAAACAAAAACTATTTCGACGAGTATTTCAACAAGTATTTACAAAAAATTATTTACGTAAACAGCTTTAAAAAAAACTTTAACATTCAATCGTATAGAACGTGCTAGCCCCGACTGCGATCTACCCCTGGGGCAGCTCGCGATTGTACGTAATTAATTTACGCAGGTAGCAAGAGTGACAGAGGCCTGGTATTAACTAATCCGATGGGTTGTTAACCAATGGCAGCGATACGAAAGTTTAAGGATGGTCACGTAAAATACTAAGTAATAATATAAAAAAAATAATCACCTCTTCGCTGATGGAGTGGCCATTTTCTTCTTGTATCTTAACATATTTCGTCAACACCTCGTTCAATCCGGGCGACATGTGACGAAAATATCTGGAAAAATATTGCCTTTAAAATAGTTACCAGCACACCTGCAACCAACTTCAAGCAACAAAGGTTACGTAACATATTATACATTGTCACTGCTGAGGACAAAGATATAACCAGTTTAAACCAGTGATTGCCAACCAATGGTCCGCAAGAGCTTAAATATCGTCCGCGGAAGATTTAAATATTTTACCTACCTAATTGTTTTAAATAACATATTTATTACTAGCTGTTCCCCGCGACTTCGCCGGTGTGTAATTTTGGGTTTTAATTTTTTTGCGAGGAACCCTAATTCTTTTTCTAAAATAAAAGTAGCCTAAGTTACTCTTTATGACACCAGTGAAAGTCCCGTCAAAATTGGTCCAGCCGTTTCAAAGATTAGCCGGAACAAACAGACAGACAATTCTTTTTAAAATGTATTTTATTTATAAGTACCGTATATATTTTCATATGCATTGAGTTAAAAGCTGTAATTTTGAGATTACAAACAGACACCATAATTTTATTTATTTATATATATTTTCTCATCACGCGGGCAATGCAACACCGCGCGTCACGTTAGTAAGTACCTACTAGCTTTTACAATAAACACACAAATAATACTGTTAATGAATGCTTCCTTTTAGTTTATTATATAGTTATGTTATACAGTGAACTCGGGTAACTTTGAATTTCAATGTAACTTTGAACAAAACCCTACTAATAACTAAATATTTTTTACAACTGTACCAGAATATCCAAGTAGGGAAGTATCACGTAAAACGGAACGACGGAATGCATAGATTATCTTTAACAAAAAAAAAAAGCTCTTGTCAATGTCAGTTTACATTTTGGCGCGGCTAAGAAAACAAGGTCTGTCTGCAAAGAAGTTTGTTGTAACAGTTGTGATTATAATTTATTGTTAGATTAACAAAGTTATTTCTTTCACCTCGTGGTTCTTACCAAATACGAAAAGTGTTCCCTGGTCAAAAAATGATTGGTAAACCCTGCACTGGACCTACAATTTAGAACCAAATCTGTATCACAGTTGCCATGGCGCGAGCGAGGGTAAATACTAAAAGCACTTCTCACCCGAACACATTAAGTAAGTACTTTGTTAGCGCGATTTAGGCTTCGTAATGTTTCACAGACAATGAAGATGTAATGATGAAAAAATCATAGGCCCCTAAAATTGCCGGGTAAACTGAATGGGGGCAATTATTTAGAATTTCTGCAAAATGAGCTGCGACATTTATTAGAAGATGAGCCACTAGCCATCCGGCGAAGAATGTGGCTCCAAAATGATGGTCGTCCGGCACATTACGCCGTCCAAGTAAGGAGTTACTTAAACGAAGCCAACCGTGCCCGGTGGATCGGCCAAATGGGACCGATATTGAGGCGACCAAGATCACCTGATACTAACCCATTAGAGTTTTTGTTGTTTCGCTCGCACAGCTTATAATTCGTCCAAACAAGGCGAGCAGGTAGTAAAGTAAAATTTTCAAGGGCGACAAATGTACTTACCTAATAAAGACATGCAATGTTAAAAAAACTATCTGCCAATAATTTTGTAATTTTGTAATGAAATGCCTACTTTTACACATTAACGGCTATAGCTCAGTAAGTAATAACATTAAGTACATGGCATGCTAATGTTTTAGAATCCTTATGATATAGGCAAACTTTTTAAATGGTTGGCCACACAGATCCTATACGTTTTTTTTTTCACCACAGGTGCTCAAACTTACCAGTTAAATAAAGTAAAAAATTTAAACTTATGTTTAGTGCCGTCTTGTAAAATACTAGTTACTGCAAACTGCCCATAGTAGTTGAAAAGTTTTAAGGGCAATTTAGAAACATCATTATTAGGGAACACATTAAAAGAAAAAAATCCGATCTAGGCATTAAACTGCGGACGTGATGACCAAAAATGTGAGCAGAAGTACGAATTTTCGGAATTTTATAAAACATGGCGTAGGGCGCGAACCGTTCGGGATAGAATTTTTTTAGGGAATCGAGGACACCTCCCCCCTCCCCCCGAACACGTACGTACCAGATTATCCACCATTACTGGGACAACCTGTATATGTAATAGGTCACATTAAAAAAAAAAACATTAAAATCGGTCGAGCTGTTTTTCAGTTTTAGCGAGACTAACGGACAACAATTGATTTTTATATATAAAGATTTTACACGATAGTCCAGGAAACAATGTATACTGCATTCTATCTCATTCTCTCGCATGCTAAATCCTATAGATGTACATATATGTCTGTCTCTTTTGCATTTCGTAGAGTTTCAAATCACATCGATTTTAAATAAATTTTCACTTCAAGAAAAAGGAAGATATACACATACTTATGGAAGCCGTGCCGGGCAGCGAGGGTAGCGAATATGGTGTTGTTGACGAGAGCTGAACGCAAGTCCGTTAGGGCTCCGGGCGAATGTCTCCGGGCGTCCTCGTACAGGTGACGGGTGATCAGGTAATCTGAAACAACAAGATCCAAAGAATGAAATGAAGCGACAGTAACATAATGACAGGTTTTTTATAGAATTAGTGTGACAAAGTCCACCTGATGGTAAGTGGTTGCTGTGGCCCATAGACATCTACATCTATCTTCGTTTACGAATTAAAATGCAGATGCTTTGTCAGTCGTGAGGACTAAGATGGAGTGCCTCGTTTCTAGTAAAAAGGGTCTCCGGCTCTCTACACTCACCATACGAAACACAGCAGCATGAAGCCGCTATTTTACGCTGGTATTCTGTGAGATAATGGCAGGTTCCAGACCCTGAAATCAATAGGTCGTGGGTCCGTGTTGTCCAGCACTTCTAGTGTAGATACTAACTCTGGTTGATGGTGATGGTGATGACATTACAGTCCCTGATATACCGCACAGCTCTTCCATTTCATATGCCATATAGAGAATGGTAAAAAATACTTGCACCACAGTCCCACAGCTGGACATCAATTCATACATTGAAAAGTCATAAATTTCCTCATGGGGGAGACAGCGGTTTTTTTTTCTAATTTTGAGCTTTTCAGGAAGATGCAGCTCATCTCTTGTTTCAGTTTCCCTCTGTCACTTCTCACAACACCCACGGGACTATATGTGGCGGTGGGTTCTAGTCGTCAATACAAGGCATATGAATAAGCAATTTAATGTAATTTTAAGACACACAAAGTTTAATATTCTGCTATAGTAGCGCAACGTCCCTACACCATTACATCCAAAATAATTAGAAATATGTCCTTAATCGTATAGTGGCGGTGTAAGAATATCCACTACCACATATCGCCCCGTGGACGTCGTAAGAGGCGACACAGACAACCCAGAAGATGGACAGCAGTGTATTCTAATAACAAACGAAAAATTTCAGAAAAATTGGGGTTGTCAACCCAAAGTTAACCCACTTGAATTTATTACATGACGGGTTTTAATTTTTTTTTTGCGAGGAACCACAATTCTTTTTCAATTTTAAAAGAAAGCCTAAGTTACTCCTTATTACATCAGCTATCTGCCAGTGAAAGTCCCGTCAAAATTGGTCCAGCCGTTTTGGAGAATAGCCGGAACAAACAAATAGACAGACAGACATACAAACAAAATTTTTAAAGTGTATTTTTGTTATAAGTACCATATATACTTTCATATGCTTTTAATAAAAAGCTATAATTTTAACATTAAAAATAGACATTTCAATTTTATTTATTTGTATATATGAATGTATATGTATGTATGTATATATTGTAATAGTGTACTCTCGGAGATATTTTTTTTTATTGTGGAGACAATTTAACATACATTAAAACATACAGTCTAATTTACATCGATCTCTTTTGAAATCGTTTAAAAAGAAATTGAATAGGCAGTCGTACATTAATTGGTAACACAGTTGGAACGTCAACAACTAAATCATTACAATAATACGTGTAGTGACGGTGTAAAAATAACCATTATCCCACATCTTCCCGTGGGTGTCGTAAGAGGCGACAGAGGGAAACTGAAGCAGGAGATGGGCAGCAGTGTCTTCCCGATAACAACTTAGAATTATAAAAAAAACTGCGGTTATGAACCCGCTTGCCAAGCGTCACAACTATGACATAATCCCCCTATGAGGCTATTGGGGAGTTATAATTCCTATGTGCAGGAGATCTAAGTTTAGCAGTGGACTTTTATAGGCCGTAATGGATTGATGGATAGATGCCCATCAGGAGTTTGCTGCAATTATATTTTTACCACTCCCTATATGGTATATGAAATGGAAGAACTGTGGGGTATCTTAGTGACTGTAATGTACCATCAACCAGAGTTGGAACCTACACTAGAAGAGCTGGTCAAGAGTGGGGTTGAAGGATGGATTTGGATCGTAATCGCCACGCTCCATATGTGGGACAGCATGCGCCCGGTAGTGGGAGGTGTTTAGAATGTAAGTGTAATATTACCCAATATGGCGTCGCCGAGGAACTCGAGGCGCTGGTAGCAGTCGGTGAGGCGGTTGCGCTGGTGCGAGGCGTGCGTGAGCGCCTGCAGCAGCAGCGCGCGGTCCGCGAACCGGTACTGTGTGTGCCCGGCAGTGGGAGGTGTTTAGAATGTAAGTGTAATATTACCCAATATGGCGTCGCCGAGGAACTCGAGGCGCTGGTAGCAGTCGGTGAGGCGGTTGCGCTGGTGCGAGGCGTGCGTGAGCGCCTGCAGCAGCAGCGCGCGGTCCGCGAACCGGTACTGTGTGTGCCCGGCAGTGGGAGGTGTTTAGAATGTAAGTGTAATATTACCCAATATGGCGTCGCCGAGGAACTCGAGGCGCTGGTAGCAGTCGGTGAGGCGGTTGCGCTGGTGCGAGGCGTGCGTGAGCGCCTGCAGCAGCAGCGCGCGGTCCGCGAACCGGTACTGTGTGTGCCCGGCAGTGGGAGGTGTTTAGAATGTAAGTGTAATATTACCCAATATGGCGTCGCCGAGGAACTCGAGGCGCTGGTAGCAGTCGGTGAGGCGGTTGCGCTGGTGCGAGGCGTGCGTGAGCGCCTGCAGCAGCAGCGCGCGGTCCGCGAACCGGTACTGTGTGTGCCCGGCAGTGGGAGGTGTTTAGAATGTAAGTGTAATATTACCCAATATGGCGTCGCCGAGGAACTCGAGGCGCTGGTAGCAGTCGGTGAGGCGGTTGCGCTGGTGCGAGGCGTGCGTGAGCGCCTGCAGCAGCAGCGCGCGGTCCGCGAACCGGTACTGTGTGTGCCCGGCAGTGGGAGGTGTTTAGAATGTAAGTGTAATATTACCCAATATGGCGTCGCCGAGGAACTCGAGGCGCTGGTAGCAGTCGGTGAGGCGGTTGCGCTGGTGCGAGGCGTGCGTGAGCGCCTGCAGCAGCAGCGCGCGGTCCGCGAACCGGTACTGTGTGTGCCCGGCAGTGGGAGGTGTTTAGAATGTAAGTGTAACATTACCCAATATGGCGTCGCCGAGGAACTCGAGGCGCTGGTAGCAGTCGGTGAGGCGGTTGCGCTGGTGCGAGGCGTGCGTGAGCGCCTGCAGCAGCAGCGCGCGGTCCGCGAACCGGTACTGTGTGTGCCCGGCAGTGGGAGGTGTTTAGAATGTAAGTGTAATATTACCCAATATGGCGTCGCCGAGGAACTCGAGGCGCTGGTAGCAGTCGGTGAGGCGGTTGCGCTGGTGCGAGGCGTGCGTGAGCGCCTGCAGCAGCAGCGCGCGGTCCGCGAACCGGTACTGTGTGTGCCCGGCAGTGGGAGGTGTTTAGAATGTAAGTGTAATATTACCCAATATGGCGTCGCCGAGGAACTCGAGGCGCTGGTAGCAGTCGGTGAGGCGGTTGCGCTGGTGCGAGGCGTGCGTGAGCGCCTGCAGCAGCAGCGCGCGGTCCGCGAACCGGTACTGTGTGTGCCCGGCAGTGGGAGGTGTTTAGAATGTAAGTGTAATATTACCCAATATGGCGTCGCCGAGGAACTCGAGGCGCTGGTAGCAGTCGGTGAGGCGGTTGCGCTGGTGCGAGGCGTGCGTGAGCGCCTGCAGCAGCAGCGCGCGGTCCGCGAACCGGTACTGTGTGTGCCCGGCAGTGGGAGGTGTTTAGAATGTAAGTGTAATATTACCCAATATGGCGTCGCCGAGGAACTCGAGGCGCTGGTAGCAGTCGGTGAGGCGGTTGCGCTGGTGCGAGGCGTGCGTGAGCGCCTGCAGCAGCAGCGCGCGGTCCGCGAACCGGTACTGTGTGTGCCCGGCAGTGGGAGGTGTTTAGAATGTAAGTGTAATATTACCCAATATGGCGTCGCCGAGGAACTCGAGGCGCTGGTAGCAGTCGGTGAGGCGGTTGCGCTGGTGCGAGGCGTGCGTGAGCGCCTGCAGCAGCAGCGCGCGGTCCGCGAACCGGTACTGTGTGTGCCCGGCAGTGGGAGGTGTTTAGAATGTAAGTGTAATATTACCCAATATGGCGTCGCCGAGGAACTCGAGGCGCTGGTAGCAGTCGGTGAGGCGGTTGCGCTGGTGCGAGGCGTGCGTGAGCGCCTGCAGCAGCAGCGCGCGGTCCGCGAACCGGTACTGTGTGTGCCCGGCAGTGGGAGGTGTTTAGAATGTAAGTGTAATATTACCCAATATGGCGTCGCCGAGGAACTCGAGGCGCTGGTAGCAGTCGGTGAGGCGGTTGCGCTGGTGCGAGGCGTGCGTGAGCGCCTGCAGCAGCAGCGCGCGGTCCGCGAACCGGTACTGTGTGTGCCCGGCAGTGGGAGGTGTTTAGAATGTAAGTGTAATATTACCCAATATGGCGTCGCCGAGGAACTCGAGGCGCTGGTAGCAGTCGGTGAGGCGGTTGCGCTGGTGCGAGGCGTGCGTGAGCGCCTGCAGCAGCAGCGCGCGGTCCGCGAACCGGTACTGTGTGTGCCCGGCAGTGGGAGGTGTTTAGAATGTAAGTGTAACATTACCCAATATGGCGTCGCCGAGGAACTCGAGGCGCTGGTAGCAGTCGGTGAGGCGGTTGCGCTGGTGCGAGGCGTGCGTGAGCGCCTGCAGCAGCAGCGCGCGGTCCGCGAACCGGTACTGTGTGTGCCCGGCAGTGGGAGGTGTTTAGAATGTAAGTGTAATATTACCCAATATGGCGTCGCCGAGGAACTCGAGGCGCTGGTAGCAGTCGGTGAGGCGGTTGCGCTGGTGCGAGGCGTGCGTGAGCGCCTGCAGCAGCAGCGCGCGGTCCGCGAACCGGTACTGTGTGTGCCCGGCAGTGGGAGGTGTTTAGAATGTAAGTGTAATATTACCCAATATGGCGTCGCCGAGGAACTCGAGGCGCTGGTAGCAGTCGGTGAGGCGGTTGCGCTGGTGCGAGGCGTGCGTGAGCGCCTGCAGCAGCAGCGCGCGGTCCGCGAACCGGTACTGTGTGTGCCCGGCAGTGGGAGGTGTTTAGAATGTAAGTGTAATATTACCCAATATGGCGTCGCCGAGGAACTCGAGGCGCTGGTAGCAGTCGGTGAGGCGGTTGCGCTGGTGCGAGGCGT